GACAATAGATTTCACATAACACCCTAGATAAGCCCTCAATTCCTTAATTCCCATAACATTCCATCAATCATATTGCAGCATAACTTGAAGGCCTGTCACACAGCATGCTAAAAACAATGGCTGGGGCTTCCAAACATGCTGAACCAATTAATCTCATTTTATTTTATCTTAGCTTAAAGATGTGATGCTAGCCCAATTAATAGGGCAATCTCTGAAAATTAAAAATGAATATCACCTATTATAGCTAGCTATGGGCCACATTTGTGAGTAGCTACAACTTGAGCTTAAAGCTCTACAGCAGGAGAGTCAAACTAGATTTCTTTGAGGGCCGTGTCAGCATTGTAGTTCTCTGGGGAGCGGGAAGGGGGTGCTTAAATCTAGTGGCACCGGCCTGGAAATAGCAGAGGACAGGACTGCGGTGCCTCTGCTAGCAAAAACAGGGTGCGGGGAGGCCCCATGCGGTTGGCCTGCGGCCTGTTTTCGGCCTAGACAGCCTCCTGCAGCACCCTGCCAGTCAAAACAAGGCTCAGGGGGCCGCATGTGCTCCCCCTTCCTGGTGGCCCGTTTTTGGCCTGGATGGCTGGCTGCAGCACCCTGCTGGCCAAAATGGGACATTTGACCGGCAGGGTGCTGCAGGAGGCTATCCAGGCTGAAAATAGGCCGCAGTGGGACTGCGAGCGGCCCATTTTCACTAGCAGAGGCATCGCGGGTCAGTCCTTTGCTATTTCCAGGCTGGCCCCACGGGCCAGATTTAAGCACCCTGTGGGTCGGATCTGTCCCGCAGGCCTTGAGTTTGACACCCCTGCTCTACAGGATTTTACACAGTCATCTTTTATATCTTTGAAAAGTCATATTTGAACCCAAACACTTATTCTCATTACTCCTGTCCCCAAATATATGAACAGAAAGTTGTTTCATTTGACTTTATTAGTAGGGCAATACAGTCTGTACTACAAGTGTTTAAAATGTGATGGAAGAACCTTCATCACTCAACAGGGGAACTTCTGCTTTGCACGAAGTAAGTTCAGAGTTCAATCCCCCATTTCCAAGTTTTCACTGAGAATAATCCCTACAAATCCCCAAACTACAAATTGGTGGATCTTCCTCAATAGGAATTCACTTCAATGTGTGGAAATCAATTTCAGTCATTACCGCTGAGAATTCTTGGAGTTAAGTCAACACATTAAGCAATGCCCAGGTTGCGGAAGGCTGGTATAAACAAACTTGAGCTGTGAGGACCATCCTAGATGGATCAAGTGTTATTTCTGGATAAAGCTGTTACTACCATTCTTACAGATTGACATCCATGATTGCCTCCAATAAAACCTGCTAATCGCAAGTCACTTGTTGCATCTTCAATAGCAAAACCATCCCCCAATTTATCAATTAGCTTCTGGGAGAAGTGTTGACAAGGCAGTAGTTTTTCAAATCCTTGACAATTATCCAGGCTAAAACCTCCTTACAGTAGAGGGAGAGAAGTTGTACTTCTCCAGATGTTGATGGAAATCCAACTCCTAGCAATCTTTATTACAGGCTATCCTGACTGGTGCTGATGAAAATTGCACTTTAGCAATATGCCAGCAGCCTTCAAATTCTCCAATCTGAATTAAGTATCCTCAAAGAAGGCCCCATTCTGGTAAAGAGCAACTTTATGGCCAACATACAGCTGGGTCTACCTTGGTTACTGGCTCAGGAAAATAAAGAAAAAATGGAGATTCTCACAAGTGTTGTTCAACTATAGTAGACGTTCTAGCCTGCAGTCCAACTCCTGGCAGAAGACCTACTTACTAAGTAGGGCCCTTATGAATTGACTTCCAATACACCTAGATTGGAAAAGCTGTTACTTGCCCAATGCACAAAGTAGGTGGCTAGTATGGAAGAAGTAAAAGAACACCCAAACAAAAGTTATTCAATGGACTCACCACCACATATAATGCTGATCTCCCTTGTGTCAAATCCAAGTACCCTTCCATTTCCCATAGACCAGGCACTCTAGAGCTGATGCTTGCTGAAGTCCAAACCATCCTGAAAAGTCCCAGTTTGCCTATGGCATGGAAACACAGGGATTGTCTATGGAGATCCTCAGTCATCCAAGTCATGGTTGTCCCAAAGGTGCTTTTTCAAAAGGCAACTGGACTTTGTTTTTTCTTGAAGAGGTTTCACTTCTTATCCAAGAAGCTTCTTCAGTTATCTACCATTCAGTCAGAACTGAAGAAACTTCATGGATGAGAATCAAAAACATCTTCCAGGAAAAACAATATCCAGTTGCCTTTTGAAAAAGCACACATTTGAGGCAAACGCAAGGATTATACTGTGAAAAAGAGTGACTTCGAACATCCCAATACCCTTCAGCGCAAAAGCCAACTAGTGCCCTTGCCTGTACTCTTGGCAGGAAAAGAAAATGAAAGGACACACTTAACATATATTTTAAAAAGGTTGCTGAACGATCTGAAACTCAAGGCAATGGATCCAGAGGAGATGAAAGAGGAAAATGAAAAATATATACATCCCCTCCCTTCCGAGTTCTCAAGATGTCTTGCAGTGGATGAAGCTGGACTCTTAAGAAATCTGAATTAAAATCGGAACAGTAGAGAGGTAAATCCCTTGGCATTTCGGTGCCTTTGGGAAAAATGTGCTGAAGCCCTGATAATAAAGCACTGTTCTTAGCACGGTCTCTGTTCATAACCATAACAGTACTCTCAAAGAGCATTTACTTTTCTCCACCACTAGGTAGTGCTGCAGCCCTTCCATGCCCATTTCCCAGGAAGGTTTTCAAACCCTTCTCTCCCCCCCCCCCCCCCCCCGCCCTTAAAAAGTCTTTCCTGGACTCCAGTTGGTATCTTTTCTTATAAGGAGAACTCACCACTCCACTGAATAGAGTCAGCTCAAGAGAAACACTTAGCAGAGAGAGCAGCTGCAGGCAGACTTCACCCATTCAGCAGAATGAAGCATTATTTTGCTGAGGTGGCAGTCAGACAATAAGGAATACTAGTGGTGCAGGCACATTGGTTTGGAACATCCCTCCTCCCTTCTGAATCTTGCAGAAAGAATGGTAGCATATGAGAGACAAAGGCATTACGTGGACCTGTCCTTGTTGGCCAGAGACCCAATGCTTGTCTTCCCCTGCAATTCCTGATCAGAACAATCTTGCCTCAGTTTCCTCCATGAATAGGCCAGACTCACAAGTAACCTTCCCTTCCCAGCATGGCAGACTGAATCAGCTATGCTTGCCCAATGCACTAAATCACAAACCACAACCGGAGGACGGCTTGATGCATTAGATGCCTGTGATCTCCACTTCCACCGTTCAGTCATCTTAAAAACAAAGGGACTCTGTTCATGGTTTGGCCACCCTTCAGATTGTTGTCTTTGAATTTTCAAGGCCGCCTTGCGCAACCAGCCAGCCAAGGGGAAGGTGTAGCACAGAAAGGCGAAGGGAGAATGCAAAAGAGCACACGCGATGGGGTAGATATAGCAAGTATTCATTTATTAACAAAATAAGACTTACCAGGAGGGAGTTCTATTCACCCCAAAAGATCTGCAGCCTTCGGTGCTGCCTTAGTTCTGCAATTTGGGGAAGGGTCTCTGCACCTTAACAGCTGTTCCATACCCACAGGTCAAGAGAAAGTGGGCGATAGGGTCATTAGGAAAAAGGGGGGAGTGATTTTTTTTTTGTTGGTTGGTGGTTGGGGTTTTTTGGTACGTAGATTTGAGCCTAAAGACAAAGATAAAGAGGCCCCCAAGGGCTACTAGCTAGACTTGAGGATCCAGCTTGAAACCAAACTGAGCAAAAGTTCTCCGAGTTCCTCATTTGGCATATAAGATTGTTCTCTTCCAGTCTCTCAAGGATGTTTGCTAATTTCCTTAAAATTCAGGTCTTTTGAAGAGAGAAAAAGCAGGGGTGGGGGGGGGGGGGGGTGAAAGGAGGGGAGAGAACAAAAAAGAAGCCAAAGCAAAATAAAACAAAACAAGTGTGAAAGCTGGTGGAAGGCTTGCATGCCCCTCTTTTATGGGAAGGGGCTTCAGTTTCACCCCAAAAATCCCAGTACTTGGATGCTCTCCTTTTTGCTTAGGGCATCCACTCTGAGAGCACAGGTGATTTGGTTTCTGCAGAGGAGACAGGACCGATGGGTTCTATGCAGAACCACCAAGCTCTCCGCGGCCAGCCTAGTGCCAGCAGCTTGCCAGTCCCGCCTTCCGCAGTTAAAACAAAGCCACCAAATAATTTCCCAGCAAACCTGACCGCCCCATTCCCCTTTCTTTCTTTCACAAGACAGGAACTATACAGTTACTATACAAATGCCAAAGAAACCGAAACCAAGAATAAAACCAAACAAAAAAAAAAGGGGGGGGGGTGTTGGTGGTGGTAGATAAAGCAGGGAGAAGGAAGAAAAGCATTTTGCTGAACATCATGCCGGGCGTTCCTTGGGACCAGGGCAAAGTTTTCTTAAAAAAAAAAATATTTAAAGGGGGAAAAAAGAAAATACAGTAAGCTTCTCCCACCCCACATGGGCAAAACGTTTTGCTTAAAAAAATAAAAATAAAAGAGTGGGTCAGATTTTGGGAAAGGGGGTAGGAGACACAGACGTTTTGCATACCATTGATTCATTGGTGTATTAATGCACTTATTTTCCCAGCTTTAAGCTAACATACAGGAAATAAATACACACTCCGGAGGCGAGGTCGCATGAGAGGGCAGGGCTGCTGGAGTTACTGATATCCAAGTGCAGAGGCTGAGGTCAGTCTTTGGCCATAAAGGGCATAGGGGGAGTAGTAGGGTCCAGCTGCAGGCAAGGAAGGGACCGGCAAGGTCCCCGCCGTCGGCAAATTGCTTTTGCCGTAGGGATGGTAGCGGTTTAGTCCCAATGTCTGCGGGCTTCTCAACGACAGAGATCCGGGTAAGGAGCTGGGGCTCCCCGGGGCAGCAGGCGGGAGGTGGAGGTGGCAGGACGCAGCAGAGCCCAGCCCCGAGGTAGGATAACCAGCCAAAAGTTTTTCCGCCCCCGGCAGAGTCGTGTGGGTCCTTAAATGGGCCAGCAGTTCCTCGGAGGTGGCAAACCTCTTGTCGCAAGGTCCACCGGCAGACACCCAGTTGCATATATGGGGCAGGGCGTCATTCTGCAGCATGAAGCCATAGGTGTAGAGCGAATGGCCAGACAGGCTGGGCGTGGCGCTGGAGGTCAGGGCGCTGTGGAGCGGGTGGGTGGGATACACCAGGGGATATCCACTTTTCAGGCTGCCCGGGTCGTGGACGCAGCTGGAGCAGTTGCTGGTGCCCAGGTGGGAGGCGGTGTGGTAGCTCAGGCAATAGGGGTCTCTGCATAATCCCTGCATGAAGGAAGGTGGGGAGGCCCCCGTCAGCGGGCTGGAGCTGGGGGGCTTCCCCGGGAGCCCCAAGGCCCCTGGCAGTTGGCTGCTGCTCACCAGGCTGGGCTTGGTAGGATCCAAGCCGGGTACGAACTGGGAAGGATAGCCCGCATACGCCCCCACGATGGAGCCGTGGTAGCCGATGCCGGAGGGGGGCAAAGGAAACACCGAATGACCCGGCTTGTAAGGAGATACCGGCGCCACGTGGCCCGCCGACGCCAAGGCCGGAGGTTCGGACTTGCGGCCCGAAGCCGCCTCGCTTTGCGTCCCGGGCTCCACGCTGCCGGCGCGCGCCCGGGTACCTCCAGCTCCAAGCGCCGCGTCTGGACTGGCTTTGGCCACGATCTCCGACTCCTTCTTCTCATCGAGGCCTCTGCAGTCCGAGTGCTGCGGGGAATTGCCCCTCGAGCCGCCCGGAGAAGAGGAGGTGGAAGAGGAAGAGGCGGCGAGCGGAGGGAAAGGTGGGCAGGCGGCGCTGGGAACTCGGAAGCCGTTTTTCTCCGCGCCCGATCCGGCCTGGTTCGGCGGGACGCCGCCGTCCTTCCGCGGATCTCCGCCGCTGCCGCCTTTGGAATACGGCTTGAAGCTCGATTTATCCTCGGCGGGCGCGTCGCCCAGTTGCTTGAGGGCGCTGCCGGCTCCGGCACCGGCGGCGCGACCGCTCGACTCCTTGTCCGGCCCAGACAGGCCGGCTGCCGCGCCGGAGTTGAGTTTGGAAGCGGGCGGTGGATCCGGCTTCCCGATCTGCGAGCAGGTTTGCGCTAGCAGCGCTAAGGGGCTCTTCTTCGCGTCCAGCTATGGGGGGAAGGAGAGAGGAAAGGCGAATGAGAAAAGCTGGGCGAGAAGGGGTCCCGGGTCGCAGCGCACCAGAAACTACACCTCCCGAGGGACAAGAGTGTCCTTTCTGACGGCTGGAAGTTCCCCGCCACCGTCCTCTAACCGGCCTCCCTGCCTAGGAATTGCCTTTTCCTCGGGCTTTACCCCCTTCTCATCACCGCTGTAAGGTCATCCGCGCTATGGGTTGTGCTTCTTCCGACGTGCAGCCGCCCGCTCCGGGACCCGGAGAGAAGTCGGTGCAAATAAGTCCTCCCCGGGCCATTTTGCTATAAACCCCTGCAGGCGCCCCTTGCACCCTTTCGAAGCAGCAGAATTAAACCGCGGCGCAAAGTTGGGGAAGAAGGCGCCAAAGGGCTGTCTTTCGTCTGTCTCCCCCCCCCCCCCCCCCCCCCCCCGCCAAGTCCTTGCCCTCAACAGGCCAGCCAGCCAAATCAGCTCGGGCTTAAGGCTCGCTCGCAGGCAAGTGCCCTCCGACAGCCGTCCACAAAACTGGGGCGCCGGGGCGTGGGAGCAGAGACCCCCGAACTAAGCGGGAAAGGAGATGGGGCTCCGGAAGCGCCGCGGCCCAGGCAAGCAGCCGAGCAAGGAGTTGGGAGCGAGCGCGGCCGAGGGCGAGGCTAAGTGGCGAACGAGGGCGAGGGCAGCAGTGGAGGCGAAAAGGCCCAGCTTTGGCGGACGGGCAAAGGAAGGCTCGGACTTGGCACTGACCTCGATGGGGCTGACGGGCGTGGAGGAGAGCGGCTGCAGGTATTCCGGGTGCAGGAGGTGACCGCTGTGGGCGCTCAGCATTTTCAGGATCCTGATGGGAAGCCGGTTCGCCTGGCGCAGGGGGTCCTCCGGGGACAGGTGCGAGAGCACCGGGCACACGGCTCCGGAAGGCTGGGCTGACGAGGCGGCGGCCGAGCCTTCGCCGCCTCCTCCTCCTTCGCCGCCGCCGCTGCTGCTGGGCGATGTCCTTGCGTTAGATCCAGCGGGCGAACCGCCGCTCATTTGGGGGAGCGAGCCGGGCAGGGCGGGGGTGGGGTAGGGCAGGGCTGGGGAGGGGGGAAAAGGGGGGGAGAGGCAAGCTCCGCAGCGCGAAAAGCCGGGCAGGGCGCGTTGTGGAAGCGGCGGCAGCAAGGACGACCGCACCGGCCCCAGCGAGAGACGGAGGGGGAAAAAGCCCTTCCTTTCCCCGAGCTACACGTCTAATAGCTCCGGTCTGCAGCACACTTCAAAGGCACCGGCCTGCTCACCAATCGGAGACGTGCCAAGGACCTCGGGGCGGGGCCATCGGCCGGTGGGGGGAGCTTAGCCTAGTGGAAAGATGAGAAAGTCACTTTTTAATCCCCTCCTACTCGGGAGCGCCTTGGCATCTCGGAGGCCGGCGGAGCGACGCCTCCCGGGTTCCTCGCTCTGCTTGCGCAAAGGGCTCGGCCTGGCTCCCGATTCCGGGGTGGGGTGGGGTGGGGAAGTGTAGAATCAGTTCCCTTCTTCCTTGCTCTCTCCCGATCCCCAAATAGCCATTCAAGCCCGTGTTTTCTCTCCAAATACAACACACACTTTCGTATATACACACAGGAGAGACGCACCCAAACTCCATTGGCAAGGTTTTAGAAAACGGCATAAAAGGGAGAAGGGAGTGGAGAAAAAGGACATTAGCTGCGTGCTGCTGCTATTTCTGCTTCATTTCTAGGTGAAAGGGGGTGGATTCAAAGTTATTCATAGCCCAGGAGGCTAAATTCTTCAGGAAGCCAAGTTCAGTCATCCTAGTTCCAGCCTTAGATGTGGGCTCACCAGGTGACTTTTAGGGTAACCTGTTGAACCTGCGGCCTTGGATCTCAAAAATTGCCTCCTTCTTCCAACTCAAATTTCAGTTTACTTTTCACTTACTTTTTATTAAATTTAGAAAGTTGCCCAATTCCTTAAAACTTGGTTAGGTTCCCGCTCTGGTAGATTTTCTCATCTTTTTCATTACCAAAGTGGGATCTTGCCTTAATTGCTTATTTCACTCATCCTCATCCTGTAGAGTCTTTTTTCCAGGATTCTTTCTTGGTTTTGATGTATCAATTACTCATGTCTCCCTTTTGTTAGAATGCTGGACTACTTTTTGCTAGAACTTTTTCTCCATCTTACCTGATGCTATTGGGTTGTTTTTGTTTTATTTATGTTGCCTAAATTCTTCACAGTGATTGATACGACCCTACAGTATCACACCTTTGATGCATGGGATGCATATTTTCATTACAAGATATTTCCCCCCACTATTGCTCCCCAAGAAAGACAGAAGCACCTCTTCAGGGTTGGTCACTGTGCACCTTTTCATAAGTTCAGTCCATCTCCATTACGGGCACAAACAAAGCAAAGTTTTTCATAAGTTAGAACTGTTTCATCATTACTGGAATTGAAGTTGAATGCCTGGAGGTCCACAACTTTGCCTTCAAAGATGTTAATTGCCAGGGTTGGAGCTGCATTTTGCATTTTAACAGTTTCGTAGTTCTTTTCTTGTGCTGATAGGAATGGGAGTTGTCCAAACAGTAAGCAGATCAGACTGTTACCTCCTTCACCAAAGAAGGAAACTTGACCACCTTACACTGAAAAAATAAATAACACACAAGGAAATGCATCAGAGTTTTGCTGCCCTAAATTGATGAATACGATTAACCAGCACTCCTAGATGCTTGATTAACTCTTTCTGCTCAGAAGGAAGAAAGTTTATCTGCAGAATTATCAGCTTTGTCACCACCCCATTGCCTTCCAGTAACAAACTACGAGTTATTCAATCTAAGCAAAAGGTAATCTCTAAAGTCTCCTTTGAGTCAGGCTCAGTTCCTGGGAACTGTAGAAACAGATCCATGTACTTTTCATGGTAATGATACAGAACTGCTTTGATCTTTGAGGCGCTGGGAATGTTTTTTTCCTTTCAATTTCTCAGTCCACCTCACAACTTGGGGTGGTATTTCATCAACTACCAGCAGAAGTCTGATTCTGCCTTATTTTTTTAAGTGACCAAGGTTGAAGGCTGCCTCAGAGTGTAACAACCATATCGGTGGTCTCTACCAAAGTCAATTAAAAAAATTCCAGCAACCTCCTCCTATTCCTAGTTTTCTTCTTGTTAGGGTGTGTGTGTGTGGGGGCGGGGTGTAAAACTTGAAGGCAAAAATAGGAGTGGGGTCTCTCTTTTTTACAGAAACACCTTTACGCTCCTTCCATCTCCTCCTTGTCTCCCAGTAGACCAGGAGTGTAGAGAAAGATATCTTTCAACAGTTTTCTTTCTCTCCAGAAGATGATACATTTATTCTGAGGTTCACATGAAGTCAGCAGGTCATAAGTCATCCTGTTCTTCATTTACATTTTTGAAAAATGCAAGAATTATCTTTGGAGGTGCTACTAACTTCCATTAGCACATAACAAGTCCAGGGAAAGGACAGTTGGATTTAAGAAGCTGAGGATGCCAGAAAAATTTTTACATCACAAGGAAATGAAAAGACAAAATGCTACGTTGTTTTTTGTACACCAGTATGAAATTCTTCAGGGCTGCAGGGGAAAAAGTAATCATGGCTTTCCAGATAATAATTCAGTGCAGAGATAGAATCAAGTAATGGTCAGGCAGATTGATGAGCATTGCAGACAAGCAGAAAGAAAGCACGGTTGGCCTCAAAAAGCATTGCTACAGGAAGAGCAAAAATATCAACATGAATCATCCATGTGAACTAGATATTTCTGAAGAAATTCAGCTGGGAGATATTTTACGACATGAACCATCTCCTTGAAAGAAGACTGCAAATCACACAGAAGATCTGGTGAAGATCAGTAGACCTTAATCTTGTACCTTTCTTCCATTATTGTAAGTGGGATTTAAGGTGACGAAAAAATTAGCTATTTCTCACTATTCTTCTTCCTAACAGTGGCGTTCCTGTCCGATAAGCAAGTCACATTTCTTGCCATGATATGATATTCTCTTCTATTTGTCTCTGGTTTTTTTTTCTAAATATACTCGATACTACTGTAGCTACTTATCACCCTCACTTCTTGGACTGGATTACAGGGTGATGGTGGTGTCATGTATCTGGAGTCAATTACATACATGGACACAAATGCACACATAGAGCAGTGGTTCTCAGACTGTAGCTTGCAAACCCCTGGAGGGCCACAATGTCACGGGGTCTGTGAAATCTTGAAGAAATGTTATTATTTAAATCCCAAATTAAGTCTTGGGGATCCAAGTCCATAGTCCATGGCCACAAAAGAAATTTCAAGGGGGTGTGGTGAAAAAAAGGTTGAGAACTACTGACATAGAGAATAGAAAATTACCATAGTGCAGCATCATGTCCATAATGAGAGGACTCTTCTCCCCTGAAGCATTCCTAAATAACTAGAAATTGACCTTCCAATGCCTAAAATAAGATGACATTCTGTGGAGCATTGGATGGCAATAGCACTTAGACTTATAGACCACTTCACAGTGCTTTGCAGCCCTCTCTAAGCAGTTTACAGAGTCAGCCTATTGCCCCCAACAATCTGGGTCCTCATTTTACCCACCTCGGAAGGATGGAAGGCTGAGTCAACCTTGACTCTGAGATTCGAACTGCTGACAATTGGTAGTCAGCAGAAGTAGCCTGCAAGATTGCATTCTAATCACTGCACCATCACAGATCTACCAGATACGGTCCTATTCTTACTTCCTGCTGGGTTTCCTATGAATGAAATCTTTCAAGCAGAATTTTGGAACAGAAAAGAACAAAGCACAGAGAGTGGAATATAGGAAGATGGCGGGCCTTAAATTAGCCATAATTTTTAAGGGTTAGGGTTAGGGTTAGAATCACAGGCTCAGTCAAATGGGTGGCAGGGACCGGAGATATATGTGAGACAGCAGGCAGGAAAAAGGGGGTGGGGAATCAAAGAGCGTTTGGGGTGATGTCACAGCTGCATTGTAATAAAAACACCTAAGAATGACTAAAAATGCAGCCTGATCTGGAATAAATTACCATCTGAAACTCCAGTAAACCTGCCACTGTGATTGGTGTGGCAGGCCTGTAACAGACTTCTAATTCAAATTGTTTGACAGTTTCCAATTTCCTTTCATGTCCTTCTAAGTGACAGAGTTGGATTTGCCCGTGGAACGCCACTTGGCCATTGCTAGGCTGCATAGCTGGACTGAGAGAAAAAGGAACAGGCTTCTGGGTGAATTTTCTCAACTGTGAATTGATGTTTCACAGAACTCTTTCCAAACTTTCCGTCCAAGAGTACCAGGACTCAGTTTCTCTTCTCCCCCACCTTCTCTCCCCCCCCAATCCTAGAATAAAGGTTTTGGGTTACAGCTACCTCAAGGGGAAAAAAAAGACTTCTCAGAGCAGAGCAAGCGAGCTGTATAATTAATCATATTAGATCCTGACAGATGCTTTAGTTTGCAACAATGTTAGTAATATTAACTATGTATGGCTACTCATTACAGCCACTGCCCACGTGGTTGGATTCTGGGAAGAGAACTTGGCCGCCCTTCTCTTAGCCAAGGAGGCTTGTCAGCATCAAATACTATTTCCCCAACTACCATCCATCACCCCTCATGTCTGATGTGTCAATTCCATCTTTGGAGATCTTTCCTAAGTTAGACAATAAGCCTTTACATGAAGTGAATGGCAAAAGGAAAATGGATACATGCGCGCGCGCGTGCACACACACACACACACACACACACACGCACGCACACACAAACACACACACACAAAATAATATTTGTAGCTCGTGGTTGAAATGAGTCCTTCATGCTTTCTTTTCTTGCAGACATTTCATTACCAAACTAGGTACCGTGTTTCTCATATAATAAGGCCGGGTCTTATTTTTTTTTGAGCCCTGAAAAAATGGGTAGGCCATCTTTTCGGGGGTGACTTAATTCCCCCCCTTTGCATCTTCAGGCGGGCGGGCAGCGACAGCTTGGATGTTGACCTCGGCGTTGGTGGGGCACTTCGTATCGGGCTCAATGCAGGCAGCACCATATCCGGGTGTGCAACAAAAGTACTTCCTAACGGCAAGCCCCCCCACCATTCCCCCCCATTTCGCATGTTTTAATATAGGCCTTAATTTGGGGAGAGGGGCTTAATTTCATTTCATGCCTATAAAACATGCTGGGACTTCCTATTGGGGGAGGCCGTATTGTTGGAGAAAC